ATATCACACACACTCTTTCACTTCCAGCCCCTGTGTCCTCAAGTTTTAGTTTACTGAGTTAGACCTTTTCCTCTGTGTGTGGCTAGGAGAGTGGGTAAAGGAAGTAGGCAAAAATAACCTCTTTCTTAACACTAAGGACTGAGGGAAGTACCTCTTAATTCTTCAGGCCTTACCCTGGAATTCAATATCACCTTGCACTGAGAAGTAAATTCTCGAAATTTAACAGAATTCTGGATCTTCAGCAGTATAGAACCACTGCTGAGAAATGGAAATGGCTCTGTTTCTCTGTTTGACAAAAATCTCTCTTTAGATGTTGATGTGCTTTCCAAATGGGTTAAGTTCACCTCTTATTGTAACATCATATGGAATGTCCCAAGAGGAAGGCCTCGCAAGCCAGTACCATGACATTTTCTACCACTGGATGGAACTTTAGCTGGATGGATGATGATATGTGGTTTGAATTCTAAGATATCATAGGCTTGAGTGTAAGTGAATAGCATCTAAGCTGTGGAGCCAGGTCAGATTTAAACTATAAGTTTTGAAAGCTGTTTCCAGAAGGAGGGTGCTCTTTCTATAACATGAAAATTCTGGGTAAACACAACAAATCCCTGAGTGCAGCTCCATATGGAAGCCTGCTCAACAACAATTGGGCTGCATGCAAAGTAGCACTGAGAGAAAGCCCAGGACATGTCCAGACAGTATGTAAGAAAAGCACTTGATTAGTCAGTTCTACGTGCCAAGGTGAAGGGGTAACAGAGTAACACAATATAGGTCATCTTTTGGCACTTTTGTTCTATATGAATTTAACTGAAGATCAGGTCTGTTATATGACTTTGTCTTTACAGAATGAGAATTTAAAAGTTGAAATGCATTTGAAATAAAATCTAGAAAGATTCTAATGAAAAATAGCCACCTTAACCTCCCAAAAGAATACCTTCACTTCTCAGAAAATGAATTCACTTGTATATAAAAGCCCATCCTGTTCGTTTATATTCAAATATGCCACAGACATTCCCAGCTGAAACTGTCACCTAGACACAAATATTTTTCTTTTTAAATAAAAATTCAGATAATAGTCATATTCCATAAAAGCAATCTCAATGTTTGAGGCTCAGGAATACCTGCTCTGCCTGAATCTGTTTGATAAAAATTAGATACGCATTGAAACTGTTAAAATCATGGTAAAAGTTACCTTTACTGTTTTGCACTTTGAAAACTGTAGCCATGGATAGGTACATTCTGTTTACCACTGTGCACTTCTATATTTTTTGGTGACTTACCACCTTCTTTCCAGAGTCCTCTAACTGCCTATGCCAGTTGTCCTCAGATCATGTTTTAACAGAGGAATGGTCCTAGCACCTCATCCATAAAGATGACAGGGCTTGGTAGAGGCTCCAGCCTATCTTCCATTCACTCTGACATTAGCAGTGTGGGCATGTAAGAAGGTCAACAGAATCTAATGTTCACTTCCAGATGATGGCATCTTGAATATGGGCAGAAGTTAACTGTGGCAGCAGATTTGACCCGGGCCTTAATAGAGACTATTATGGTCTCAGTGTCCAGTCCTTGGGACAAGAAATATAGTAGGTGCTCAACAAATAATTGCTGAAAAAAAAACTGACCTTGGTTTCTGTATTTTAATTAGCTACATGCTTACCCTATTGCTCCAGACAATGTGTCTGAGCTCAAGTCAGGAAGTGCTAGGCCAGTTAATCCTGTTCTCCTTGATGAAGGAGCTAAAATCTTTCCTGGAAACCATCATCCAGAAACAGAAAGGAAGTTCTTTTAATAAAGAAGTAGATGAAATGGATATTGCCTAGACAGCTAATGATGTCTCCAACCAGGAAAATGAATATCAATGAGCAAGAACTCTGGTCTTCTGACAGAGATCCTGGGAGTCTAAACTAAGGACACAGAAACCCTGCCTCATAAACATGAACCCTAATCTGGAGGGTTCATGGACCAAGCATAGATGTCCATGCAGAGGATCAGTTCGGATTGAGAATTGGGCTCTATATACAGATACAAGTATGTAACTACTGAAGGCATAAGACCATTTCATGTCCATTTCAAGATACCAGAATGACTGTAAGTCACAAAGACTTTCCTGATGGGAGATGTCATTCTGTGTATGTTTCTCATACTGGGTAATAATAAAGCACTGTTGGCCAATAGGAAAGGAAGATAGGAGAGACAAGGAGGAAATAGGAAGTAGTAAGGAGGAGCCAAGATGGAGAGTCTGGAGAGAGCAGTACGTGGCAGCCGGCTCCGGGTAAGAAGACCACATGGAAATACATAGATTAACACAAATGGGTTAATACTTAAGACAGAGCTAGCCGATAAGAAAGTAGTAACTGGCCAACAGTATAATATCAAATATAGAGTCTCTGTGTGTTATTTGGAGCTGGCGCAGCAGCAGGACAAGACTGGCAGCAGGCGGAAAAACCGTACTTGTTACAATTTTCCAGTCTGGGGGGCTTCCCTTGAAACCAGAGACAGACCTAGCTGTTCAGAATTAAAGATTCAAGCTTGTGATGGATTTCCTACTTGTTCCCAGTGTAGCCAGGGTTCTTGCTGAGTCCTCTACTAACTGTCTCCCAAGGGCTGCCCCAGGCTCCTGATCTGGCTCCATCCAGTTCTTTCAGGGCACACTCTCCCATAAGGCCCCACTAACCCAGCAATGACCCTTACCCCTCTAACCTTTCTCTGAGTCCACATCCTCTGACCACAAGAACTAAACAGCCCATGCTCTAGCCCACAAAGGCTCCAAACACTGGCCTGAGGAATAGCTAATTGGTTTTTTACAAGCCTCAGATAATCCAGACATTTAAATATTGATGTTCACTTCTGGGTAGCTATAAACACAAAAGGAGGAAAGAGCTTGTGTAACCACTTCCTCTCATTCATCTCACCATGATAATGGCCTTCAGTCAATAAGCTCAGCTTCATAAATAGGGGAGTCATTCAAATTCAAAGGGAAGATTTGATGTGCACTGCCACCATGACACAATGCTTCATCCATCCGATTGGTGTCACCTGCTCTGCTTACCCAGAATCCACATACCTACAAATACACACATGTTCACACAGACTTGGAGGTAAGAAGAGAACTAGAGGAATCCTGATCCTGAATTGAAGAAAGAAACAAGCAGATGATGCAGATCAAGTCTGGAAGGCCAAAGCATCATCAGTGAGGAAGATACATATAGAATGTTAGGATGCCATGGGTAGACCCCAGTGCTGACATGCCCGAAAGAATCCACAGCTCCATCTCTATTTCCCTCCCAATCTGCTAATCCTCTCTGGTCCTTCTCTGCTCACTTGGCATACTGATCTTAAACACACTTCTCTGTGTATCTCTGACATCTGCTTATCTTTTTCTCATTTTATATTATTTCTTGAAAAGGTCCATTGAGAAGCAATTAATTTATTGCAGTGCTGAAACTTTTGTTTGCCACTTGTATCTGGCAGTTGTGATTAAAGGTTTATAATCCACTGAAATACCTGCTTGCTTCTAAACCAGGGTCAAGGAATAACACTAAGATGTCACATAGCAATCATAATAATGGCACTATCCCTTGGTTCAATGAAAACACCATTAATATCCCAGTGATGCTCACAGAATCACAATTTGTTGACTTATGCATAATTGAAAGTTGATCTGCCTTGCACAGACTTTCATGTTAATGGATACCTTATGTTATATTGATGCGGGTTCTCCCATTATCACTCTTCAGACTTTATGCTTCTCGAGGGTAGTACCTTCATTACTCTGAGGCCATATTCACTTATATTACCAGCAGATACTGATAGAAGCAGTTTCTTGCATTTTTCTATGAACTGATAAATACCTACCTGGGCAACAGGGATAAAAAAAAAAAAAAAGCATCACTGGATTTAACAATCTGGGAGACTTCATGCTCTCTGTATTTTCTCTATATTGACACTCAGCCTGCTTAGGTGAAGTGTTAAGCCTAAGATTTCTGCCTTTGTTCGTAATGTTGCTCAACATTGCTTCTGGGTACAGTGAGAAGGGAGGGGCTTTTAGAACTTTGTGGCAACAATTTAAAAAAAAAAAAAAAAACAGTTCTCAGAGTAGAGTTTGCTACAGAGGCTTCTGGGGTCTATTGCCGAAGATCCCTGGACTGGGGAGCTAAAGACCAGAAAAAGAGGTGAAGTGTCTCTCCTTCTAGGAGTGTCTGCAGTGGACTGATCAGAAGCCTGGTCAGTGTGCTCCTCTAGTTGGATCATTGATTGCTATCCATCCCTCTGATGTGTCCTTGCTTATACTGAGGACTCTGAATGGACCCTGAAATTCCAGTTATCAACTGCTGTTCTAACTCACTGACTCTCCTTCTAAGCAACTTTTGGAATCTCAAAACTCCTTATTTATTCTGGGTCTCATTAGTGCAATAGAAAGAGACAGCAGTTCAGTAGGCCTGCCTTCTGCGTTAACCCCACTCTTGGTGTGCAAAGTTTATGTTAACAAGGCCATTTCTGGTTGCCTAGACAGCCTACAAGAGCCCCATGTGGACAGGAGCAGAAGTCCACTCTTTCTTTTCTTCCGAACTTAAAACATTTCACTGAATTAATGATGGTACCAGTTAGTTATACCAGTGTTCTGTGTTAGGAAGCTCTGACACACCATGATTCATCCTCTTCTGAGACATAGGAAAGTATGCAAATATGTACCAATACAGTCAGCATAGTGACTCATGCTTGCTAACGAATGGTGGTCCCAAGAGGAAATATGGTGGCCTATCTGTAACTGGTTTCCCTCTTCCCTGAATTCCTGCATCTAGTGATGCAGGCTCTGGGTTCAGTAATGAAGAAGAATAGGCTACGGGCTTTTTTGTTTGTTTGTTTGTTTCTTATAATCTAGTGTTCATCAAGTTTCGCCATTTAGCTTCCCTTCGGTATCTTGTTGACTGCACTTAACTTCAGAAGTGATGATTTTGGTGTTTGCTTTGGAAGCCCTGTTTCAAAGAATCCCATAACTCATGCTCCCTTCAACAGCACATAAACTAAAGTTAGAACAATACAGAGAAGATAAGCATGTCCCCTGTGCAAAGATGACATGCAAATTCGTGAAGTATGCCATATTTTTAAGTCTCAGGTCTGAACATCTATGCCCCAAATACAAAGGCACCCACATTCATAAAAGAAACCATACTAAAATTCATATCATTCATAAAACCTCATACATTATAGTGGGAGATTTTAACACCGCACTCTCAACACTAGACAGATCCACCAGACAGAAGCTTAACAAAGAAAAAAAGGAACTAACAGAACTTATGACCCATTTGGGTTTAACAGACATTTATACAACATTCCATCCAAACCCAAAAGAACACACCTTCTTCTCGGCAGGACATGAAACCTTCTCTAAAATCAACCACATACTCAGCAATATAGCAAAGCTCAATAGGTTAAAAAAAAATTGGAATAAGCCCCTGCATTTTATCAGACGATCATGCTTTAAATTTAGAATTCAACAACAACACAAATTGCAGAAAACATACAAACTCATGGAAATCGAACAATGCACAATTGCACCATTCCTGAGTCAAGAAAGAAATTAAAGACTTCCTAGAATTCCAAACTCATGGGACACTCTGAAAGCAGTGCTAAGAGGAAAGTACATAGCACTAAGTGCCCACATGAAGAAACTGGAGAATAGTCACACTAGAGAATTAACAGCACAACTGAAAGCTCAAGAACGAAAAGAAGCAAAATCACCCCAGAGGAGTAGATGCCAGGAAAAATCAAATGAGGGCTGAAATAAATAAAATAGAAACTAGGAAAACAATACAAAGAATCAATGTAACGAACAGTTGGTTCTTAGAGAAAATCAACAAGATAGACAAACCTATATCCAAACTAACCAAAGGGTAGAGAGAACCTGCAAATTAGCAAAATCAGAAATGAAAAGGGGTATATATAACAAAGGACACTGAGGAAATCCAGAGAATATTCAGGTCATACTTTGAAAACCTGTACTCCACAAAATTGGAACATTTAAAAGAAATGGACAATTGTTTGGATAAATATCACTTACCAAAATTAAATCAAGAACAGATAAGCAATCTAAAAAGACCTATAACCCCCCATTAAATAGAAATAATCATCAAAAGTCTCCCCCCAAAAAAAAAAAAAAAAAAAAGGGGGGGCAGATGGTTTCAGTGCAGAATTCTACCAGAAATTCAAAGAACAGTAATACCAATACTCCTTAAATTGTTCCACACAATATAAGCAGAAGGTTCATTGCCAAACTCTTTTTATGATGCTACAATTTACCTTGGTACCCAAACCACACAAAGACACAACTAAAAATGAGAACTACAAATCAATATCCCTCATGAACAGTGACATGAAAATACTCAATAAAATACTGGCAAATCAAATCCAAGAACACATCAGAGAAAATATCCACCATGATCAAGTAAGATTCATTCCAGGGATGCAGGGATGGTTCAACATATGAAAATCCATCAATGTAATTCACCATATAAACAAACTAAAAAGAAAACCCACATGATCATCTCACTAGATGCTGAAAAGCCTTTGACAAAATCCAGCACCCCTTCATCATAAAGTTGTTGCAGAGATCAGGGATAACAGGAACATACCTAAACATAATAAAAGCAATATACAGCAAACCAACAGTCAATATCAAACTAAATGGAGGGAAACTCAATAAGATACCTCTAAAATCAGGAACAAGACAAAGCTATCCACTCCATATCTCTTCAGTGTTGTACTTGAGGTTCTAGCTAGAGCAATAAAAAAACAAAAAGGAGATCAAATTGATATAAATTAGAAAGGAAGAAGTCAAACTTTTACTATATGATTTACTATATGATAGTTTACATAAGTGACCTTAAGAATTTTACTAAGGAACTTCTACAGCTGATAAACACCTTCAGCAAAGTGGCAGGATACAAGATTAACAAAAAAAAAAAAAAAAAACCCAAAAAATCAGTAGTCCTACTATATACACATGATAAGGGGCTGAGAAGAAAAAAATCAGAGAAACATCACCTTTTCCAGTAGCCATGAACAACATAAAATATTTTGGGGTGACACTAACCAAATGAATGAAAGACCTATATAATAAGAACTTTGAATCTTTAAAGAAAGAAATTACAGAAGATACCAGAAAATGAAAAGATCTCCCATGTTCTTGGATATGTAGGATCAATATAGTAAAAATGGCAATCTTGTCAAGAGCAATTACAGATTCAATGCAATCCCCATCAAAATCCCAACACAATTATTCATAGACCATGAAAGAACAATACTCAACTTTATATGGAACTAAGAAAACCCACAATAGCCAAAACAACCTTGTACAATAAAGGAACTTCTGGAAGCATCACCATCAACAATTAATAAATGGGACCTCTTGAAATTGAAAAGTCAAAGGACATAGTCAACAAGACAAAATGGCAGCCCACAGACAGGAAAAGATATTCACCAACCCCACATTTGACAGAGGGCTGATTTTCAAAATATACAAAGAACTCAAGGAGCTAGTTACCAAAACACCAAATCATCCAATTAAAAGTGGGGTACATTACCAGCAGGAAGTAGTTTGGAAAGAACAACGCCCAAATTCCCAAATACTGTCTATAAATGTTTGTTTTCATTTAAATGGACTTTGTTATATATAATAAATTTTTAAAAAAATTTTAAAAAATGGGGTACAGAACTAAATTGAGAATTCCTAATAGAGGAATCTAAAATGGCTGAAATATACTATAAAGGAACTTCAGGAGGCACCACCATCCCCACCTTCAAGCTCTACTATAGAGCTATAGTCCTAAAAACAGCTTGGTATAAGCACAAAAATAGACAGGTAGACCAATGTAATCAAATCAAAAATCTTGATATTAATCCACACACCTATGAACACCTGATTTTTGACAAAATAGGTAAAAGTATACAATGGAAAGAGGAAAGCATCTTCAACAAATGGTGCTGGCACAACTGAATGATGGTGTGTAGAAGACTGCAGATGGACCCATGTCTATCACCATGCACAAAACTCAAGTCCAAATGGATCAAACACCACAACATAAATCCAGCCAAACTGAACCTCTTAGAAGAGAACAAATTGGTACAGGAGACTGCTCCCTGAACATAACTCCAGTAGCATAGACACTAAGATCGACAATTAATAAATGGGACCTCCTCAAACTGTGAAGCTTCTGTAAAGCAAAAGACATAGTTGACAAGATCAAATGGCAGCCCATAGACTGGGAAAAGATCTTCACCAACCCTACATCTGACAGAGGGCTGATCGCCAAAATATACAAAGAACTCAAGAAACTAGTCACCAAAACACCAAATAACCCTATTTAAAAAATGGGATACAGAACTGTAGAAACAATTATCAATAGAGGAAATCAAAAAGGCATAAAAACACTTAAGAAAGTGCTCAACATCCAGTGCTCAACATCCTTAGCTATCAGGAAAATGCAAATCAAAACAACTCTGTAGCATTATTTGTAATAGCAAAAACCTGGAAGCAACCTAGATGCCCCTCAACTGAAGAATGGATAAAGAAGATGTAGCACATTTACACAATTACACTACTCTGTGGGAAAAACAAAACAAAACAATGGGATCTTGAAATTCACAGGCAAATAGATGGAACTTGAAGAAACCATCTCGAATGAGGTAACCCAATCACAAAAAGAGGAACATGGTATGTACTCACTCATATATGGATTTTAGACATAGAGCAAAGGATCACCAGCCTATAATTCACACTGCCAGAGAAACAATGATACAATGAGAATTCTAAGAGAGTCATACAAGGTCCCTCACAGAAGGGGAAAGATCTCCTGAGCATATTGTGGGGGGTGGGGGGGAGTGAGAGGGAGCTAGGAGATAGAGAAGGGGAGGGCAAGGAGAGGAAATCATGTGGGACTAGGATGATTGAGTCAGGGGAGGAATAGATGAGAGAGAGAGAGAGAGAGAAAGAGAGAGAGAGAGAGAGAGACCATAAAAGAGGGAGCCATTATAGGTTTGAAGAGAAAACTGACTCTAGAGAAATGTTCAGAGGCCTACAAGACTGACCCCAACTAACAATTTGAGCAATAGTGGAAAGGCTACCATAAATGCCCTTCCCTGATAATGAGATTAACTTATCTACCATCATAGAGCCCTCATCTAATAGCTGATGGAAACAGAAGCAGATACCCACAACTAAACACTGAGCTGAACTGGAATCCAGATGCACAGAGGGAGGACAAGACCAGGCTACAGAAACCCACACAGACAGCTGACCTGAACAAGGAGGAGCTAATGGATCCTCAGACTGATAGCTGGGAATTCAGAACTGGACCGACTCAGATTCCCTGAACATGGGTCTCAGTTAGAAGGTCTGGGCAGTCTCACGACCTCTGACAGTGGAACCAGGATCTATCCCTGGTACACAAAAGGACTTTGGGAGAACATTCCCCATGGAGGGATACTGCCTTAACCTAGAGGCAGGAGAGAGGATCTAGTCCCTTCTCCAAATGACTTGACAGATTTTGTTGACCCCTCCTGAAAGGCGTCACCCTCCCTGTGGAGTGGGGGTGTGTGGGTGGGATGGGAGGATGGTGGGGGGGGGCATGGGAGGAAGGGAGAGAGGGAGGGATTGAGGAAGAGGAAACTGGGATGAATATGTAAAATAAGAAAAAAAAATTTAAAAAAGTGCTCAAAATTCTTAGCCATTAGGGAAATGCAAATCAAAAGAACTCTGTCTTACTACTGTCAGAATGGCTAAAATCAAAAAATACTGAAGAACATTTTTTGCTGGAGAGTATGTGGAGAATGGGGAACGCTACTCCTCTGCTGGTGGGAGTGCAAGCTCATATAGCTACTTTGGAAATCAGTGTGGCAGTTCATCAGGAAAGTGGTAATCAACCTACCACAAGATCCAATAATTCCACTCTTAGGCATATATCCAAAAGATGCACATTCGTACAACAAGGACAACTATTCAGCTATGTTCATGGCAGCATTATTTGTAATAGCAAGAACCTGGAAGCAACTTAAATGCCCCTAAACTGAAGAATGGATGGAGAAAATGTGGTACATTTACACAATGGA